GACCTACCAGGCCACATACTCTGGGTTCAGCGTATTCTTGTGTAAACACTAGCTGCAGCAACAGAAAATCAAAACCTATAAGCCACTTGTAGGAGACTGGGGTGAGTTAAGGCGGATTTCTGACAGCAGTGGTGTCTGCCCTTCCCAGAGTTCCCTCCTGCCTTCTGCATCCCAGCCTCTTCCACGTTCATGCAAGAGCGGAGCATGGGGGGAGCAGTGGCACCAAGGGGTGGGGGGGATGTCCACAGGAGCAAGCCCCGTAACTGATACCCCTCCAGGCTCTGCTGGCAGGCTGGCTCCTGTCATTCCCCAGCAGCTGGTTGTCTTCTTGCTGAAGCCTCTCTGTAAACATAGGGAGAAAAAGCTGTCCTAGATCTCTGTGTGATTTTTATGTGAGAGTTTGGGAAAACTTGATTTTTCTCTAGTTAACGTAAGTTTGGAATGTGTGCGTGTGTTGGTTTGGGGTTTTGGGTCTTGATGTATTCACTTAAACTGAATGTCTGACAGTTACTTGGGGGTTAATTGAGGGTTTTCATATTAGGTCCAAATAAAGTCACTTCTCTGTCCCTCTGTAAAAGGAATAAAACTTCAGCCTTAATGGATTTGCTTTAGCAACTAGATATTAATGGCAATTTAAAAAGACACCTTTAAAGATGAATTTAGCTTGCCTTTTTTTTTTTTTTAAGTGAGGAAAATATAGACCTTTTTCACTAATCAAGCCCTGTATACATAAACTGTTGCCTAGTCTTTTACTGGATGGTTTGGGACTTCAGGGTAATTTTTACAGGCTGCTGTTTAACTTTTTCTGGTTTGACCTCTGCTACTGCAACAAGAGAAATAAAAGCCACCTTCTTAAAAACCTGGGTGCTTGAATAGCCTTGTTTGTAAGCATGTTAATGTAAGATATCCTTACTATATTACGACAGAGGGCCTGCTAGTATTATTAGATCTGGCTGAGGTGCAACGAAGTTGGACCTAAATCAGTCTTGCAGAGTCAGCGTCTGCCTTGCTGTGTTCTGCAGCACTTTCTGTTATAGCGTTGAATGTGGGTAAGATCTCCTGTTGCTTACACTAATGGTAGGGTGTTTGTATGTACAAATAAAGTTGATTGGGGAGGGTGGATTTGATTTTTATTTTGCTTAAGTTAATAATTTGCAACCATGATACCAGTCTTAATTCTTATTTATAGCTTGTTTTTTGTATGGTAGTGAGAACAGTTATTGTCACATGCATGACAGTGTTGGGAAATGAGAGTGGTTACAATGCATGGAGTTAAAATAGTTGTATTTTTATTATAACTTCATAATATTTGTTTATGGTTATTTCGAAAGCAGAAGGAGATGTGGGTCTACATTCACACTCTGAGCTCTGCATATGCAAAACTGCATGTTGCTTTTGGTGTTGCTGGTATGGGGAGTTACTAGAAACAGCCTGAAACTTAGAGCTGAACCAGCTGAGGCCAGGATGCGGATGGGTAGTTGGGAGAGGGCAAGAGGATGAATAGCGATGATGGTGAAGCAAGTGTTTTTGATATTTAGTTACTGTATTTTACAATAAAACTAATTCTAGGTCAGATTCTGGTCTTGCGTTTTACAAAAGCTTCTTCAAGCTTATCTAAATCTGACCCAAGCCACTTGGAATACAAAGTCTCTGAGAAACTTTTTTTTCTAGTGAGCCTGAAACTGCTGAAATGTTGCCATACTTATTGATCTTTATCTAAAAAAAAAGTCGCTAGTTGCAAGAACAGGCTGCTGACATAAAAAGCCTGTCTTAGATCGCACAGTTGGCTGGAGGCCAGATAATGAGTTTCTATAGGAGCTTGTTGGCAAGCTTAGGTTTTTGCTTAGGTTAATCGAATGTAACTGTAAGTAATCTGGGAGCCTGGTACACTCAAAATAATTTTTAGACAAAATGATCTTATTATTTTTAAATTATAACTGAGCTGTTATATAACAGCTTCTTGTACTTAAAGCACATAAAAAATGCCTAGGAACATGATTCTTTACTATTTCCTCTTTTAATGGTCAACCTACTGAAGAATACTTTAAAAGTATTGACACTGATGACATTTCTTTTTGCTAGCCTCTGTGTTACAGAATTTAAGCTGACTGTGTTCAGTGGAGTGATCTGTTAGTGCTTTAAAGAAAGGCTTGCATTTTTAAAAGACCAAGTGGTAACACACTTAAGGGCAGGTACATCAGTTTTACTAGTTAAAAAATAACGGTAAATGTGTTCATGGGTACATCTGTTGGCCAGGTTATTCTGTGACTAGGGCTGAAATGCATGAGCCATCCTAGGAGGACGCTAGAGTTGAGGACGTCGTGTTCCCAAAGGGCATCCAACCCAGGCAGATACAGCACTGGGCCTTTCCACCGGCCTCATGGGTCTTTCATTCTTCATTGCCTGATGGCAAAGCTTGAAGAGGAGGGTTGGAGATTGCTGTCTCAAGATGGTTTTGTTGCTTCTCACTTCTTTTGTGTGATAAGTGAATGTGAATCCATTCTAAGGGAAAACTGAATTCAGATCTTGAAACATCCATGGAAGTGCTTTGTATGCCAGACTATAAAAAGAGGTCTCGATCCAGCCCTGGTCTTTGGGGAGCGGTGGATAAATGTGGCTTTAACAGGAAAACGCTGAGGACTCCTGATTCTGCTCAGGACAGCAATGCTCATCTGCAGCCTTGAGTTAACTGCTCCATCCGTAAGAGGGATGGAGAAGGCTCGGGATGCATGCTTGTCTTCTGTTGGTGTGGGCTGATGAGTGCCGACCAGAAAAGGGATAGCACTCTACCATCCTTATTATTTCTTCGTATAGCTGTATCATTAGCAGTGACAGCATGAACGACAAACAAACGGGGTTTGGTTTACAACTGCTTTGCTGTAGGTCTGACTTACATGGTATGTAAAACTGGTTGAACACAGATGGAGATCTTTGAGATGGGAGGGAGCATGATACAATTGTGCTGGTGCTTATCAGAGGTTTAAACTTCCCTGATAGCATTTGTTCTCTAGTTGCTATTAATAGTAGGGCCTAGAGATATTTCTGGATGTGATAGCTGACAAGCTTCTTCATCAAATAGTCAATGAATGAGCAAGAAGTGTTTCTATTTTAAACTTAGCTTTGACAAGTAATAGAACTTCAAAGAAAAGCTGTTCATAGAAAATAACCTTGGTGTGAGTTACTGCAGGTGGTTCTCTTTAAGGAAAATATTAAATACAGGGCTACAACTTTAAGCATCTCCAATAAAGGAAGAGTTTTGTGGGTTTTTTTTGCCAGCTGCGCTATAGGGGATTTGTATTAGTTTCAAACTTCTGTGTTTAAGTGAAGGGTGCTAATAAACCTTGGCAGAGGGGCAAACTAAGGCAGATTTTGAAGCGAACGATCTGGTTTGAACTTGGTGTGAATAGTCACTGCCAACGTGTTAGGGTAAGCAGAGAATCTGCAGGGAAAGACGAAGAGCTCTCTTGAAAAGAGGTTTGTGTTAGGAGTGAGAATTGCCTCAAGTGCAAAGGCTGTGGGAGCCAGTAGCAAAAGGCACTTCTTTCTTGCTCTTTATTTATATGCCTGAAGTGACACATGTCTAGATCTACCTTTTGCTTTTTCATCTTGCACCCAGTGCCTGGGATGATGTGCCATGAAGCTAAGCATGGTTTTTAATGAAGAGGAGGGCAATGTTGACCATAGGGAGAAAAGGATAGTAAGAGGAACAAGTGCCTCAAAATAAACTTTTACCACTGCAGAAGTCCATTTGGGAGAGCGTTGCAGCAACCTCCAAATTGAAGTCTTTGAGCTGAGGAATGGAGAAACACCATTGAGCTGAGGGGAGAAAATGGTGTCTGGTTTGTTATAAACTGCAAGAGCAGTAGCTTGCTGGAGTGGCAGGATCAAGGAACTAACTAACTTTTTTTTTTAATAAGGTGGAGCTTGGGACCTTTTGGTACAGAGTGTGATATGTGTAGAGCATTGAATCGGGGCGATTTGGCAGGTCTGGTTAAAATCAGAAATTATACAGTGCAGTGTCTTGGAAAGCTACCATTTCAATGAGTTTACATACATCAATTAAGCTTTCTTCTATTGTCTTTTAAAAAGCAAAATGCTTCTCCCAGTACAATTTATGATTTATAATTTAAGTATTGCTCCTGTCAAATACCATCTCTGGAAGCGAAATGTCCTGGACATTTCTTATTCCTCCAGATGCCATGGCACCTGCATGTTCTGCAAAAATACTGGCTGTGCTGTTTCTCTCACAGTAAAGTTTTGGTCATGCTAGTTTTAAAAAGAATGTGAAAGCATCACTAATAAAGTAATTCTCCTTTGCGTCTCAAAGGGAGTAACAGAAGTCTAGCAAAGGGTATGCAAGATTGTCAGTAGTGGTAATTTTAAGGATCTTGGCAGTGCATTTGAATGTGGTTTATAGTTGGCTTCAACAATCTCTGTTTTTTGGTGGGATCTTCTGCATGGATTTGTCTGGTGGCTTTCTTCAATAAACCCTCGGTACTTTCTGTTTTCTTAGCCTGAAGCATTAGGGAGATATGATAGCCTTGCTACTTTTTTTGCTCTGTTTTTTTCCGGGAATTTAAAGATTGGCTCTGAAGCTTAGTGGATTTTCATGTCTTTGATTAGAAGTATCAGCAAGTTGAAGAATGTGGACTTATCAGCTAAACTTTTCTTTGTTTCAAGTAACCAGCTAAGCACTGACTTCCTAATCTTTCTTTGGAGTGCAGGTTATTAGCTTGTGCCCATTCTGACTTGCTTTAAAAATAGCCATGAGAAAGAGGCCATAGTAGTGTGGGAAGATGGTAAATCATCAACTACTGAAAAACAAACCATGCATCTGTTACACTGTGGAAAAAAATGCCTGTTAAAAAGCTAAGCTGCAGCATGTTTCTCCTCCAGTGGCAGGAAGGCCCTTGAAAGATGGCTAGAAGTAGTTAGTGATTAGAATGCATGTATTTAGGTTTATTGCAAGCTTTCTAAAGTATTCTTGATTCTTGTTTCTTGCAGAGACTCCAACCGTCATGTTAAGGTAAAGCAGAAAAGTGCAGTGCTGAACATGCTAAAGAAGTTGGACAAAATAAGGTTCAGAGGTCACAAGAGAGATGAGTTCCTTGATTTAGCAGAGTCTCCAAATGCTTCAGACACTGAATGTGGAGATGAAATCCCGGTCAAAATACCTCGAACATCAACTCGAGACAATGAAGAGCTGAGAGACCCTGTAAGTACTCGATTTAATTATTTTTATATTATGCTATATAGTTGTCAGGCAGAAAAAGAACAGAAATTAATAATTCTTTGTCCCTGTATTTTGGATTCAACACTTGAAGATTTGTGGACTAGGAAGTAAGCTTCCAGTAATAGGCTTCCATTTTATGGAAAGATGAAATTAATTTCTTAGTATTAGGGTTCCTTGTCCCTCTTACTGATTTTAGATGTTGTGTGTTGACAGGTTTGTTAACCTTGAGGGTGCTTCTGAATGCTGTCTGGTTTTTATTTGTTTTGTTGAATTACCAATGAACAGATCTGAAGGAAAGACTTCAGTCTGAGAAGCTCAGATCTGCTCAAACGGCACTGGCCAGGACTGTAGGGATAAGACTTCTGGTGGCTTCATTAGAGTTAGGGGGTCACACCACCTTGATCATCACTACAACGTTCTATCCAGTAATGCTTCCATACTATAGAGCTGGTTTAAACCTATGCAGGAGGTGAGCAAGACTCTTCAGGTGCTAAAACGTTTTGGTGCTTGTAAGCAGAAGCATTCAAACAGACCTGCCTTTTTAAAAGACACTGTTTCAGGAAAAGTTAAATATTGGTTTAAAAAAAATAAAAATCCTACTTTAACCGTTAAAAAATGGTAGTGGATCCTTGAGCTTGGAGTGCTACAATCTAAATTATGATATGTCCATTTACTTGTACTCTAGAATGTGACTTGGAAGTCAGAATTTGTACTGCCCTATTTGGAAACTCACCGTGCAGTTTTTATCCCCAAAATGTGGTCAGGCTGTTGTCTGAAAGCTCATTTCTAGAAGCACTGGGCTTGCTCACCACAAGTGTTAAACTAAAAGACTTCAAACTGTATGCGCTTAACCATCTCGTTTGGGGTTAGCAGCTTGTATCCTGTTCTGTAGCTATTAGGGTTTTTAAATTTAAGTGGGCTTGTATGGTACCACATACAGTCCTGCTTATATGGAGCTCCTTTGCCAGAATTTTTTCCTATGATCGTGGAACAAAGCAGTGGTAATGACAGAGCATTTTTTGGTCACAAAAAGTCTATTGTATCCAAATCCTCAAGCTCCTCAGACAAAGAAGGTCTGTTGAATGCCTTTCCTTTGCTCTTATTCTACTGAAGACATTTGTCATTTGTCAAGACGTATGTATTGTGTATACTGGGACTAATCTGTGCTGCTGCCCTTCCAACATGGTATTTTCTGAGGTTTTTTTTGTAGGTAAATACTGGCTTATTTTCATTAAACTTAAGGCATTATATTTACATGTGGAAAGCAGGGAATGTCCTTTGTATCTAAGATGTCTATAGATGTACCTATAGAAGTCTTTAACCCTAGATACTGTTTTCTCTATTTGTTCAGGAGGGTAGTAGCTCCATGATGGTATGGCTGAGGGAATAGCAAGGGAAACCTACAGTTTTGACTAGTTATAAAACCTTACAGCTACACATCTGCAATGATGGTCTCTGTTTTCTCAAATTGTTGAGCTCTGTGTGCTGAGAAGGTAATTCGAAGAGAAACACTTTGCTTTCTGGATGACTACATACTGTTAAGTAGGCTGTCATGATCTAAGTCTGTGAGATACAGTTGAGTATAGTTCTTTAAAAACAGGGAGAAAGGGAGAGAGGAAAGCAGCAACAGCATCAGACTTGCTGTTTTGCCCTGCTCTTGATGTTTGGGAGCTCCAAACCCAGTATGATGCTGGAACAGCCTAAGAGCAGCAGCTGTGTTACAGATATGAGCAAAATAAGCAAACTTGTGAGAGGAGAGAGGTCTGACACACAAGGGACGAATTTCAGATGCAAAGTTTAGGGGATTAGCACTTGGCCCTCACATACATCTGCCCACTAAGCGCTGCTGCCTATCCATAAAGTGAAGGGAGAAGAAATAATCCCCTGTGCTGCAGAGGTGCTGGGAGTAAAGAAAGTAATGCTTGTATATTTAAGTCAATGTTAAAATAGTGGCTGAGATCATGAGAGCAGGGCAATTCTGAATTATGTCTCTGTTTCTTATTAAGATTGTATGGTTGAATTGTGCCTGAATTGTTTTTAATTCAGTGACTAAAACTCAAATCTTAAATTGCTTATACAGGGCGGTTTTCTTTTATAGGCTCTGTAAGCAACTTAGTGTTATACTTCTATTACACTGATCGTGAGAAGACCAAGTCTTATTGGTTTCTTCCTGTTTAATACCTTTGGGGGACTGTTGAAAGCATACGAAAGTCAATGCAAGTCTTGTGCATAAATTGAAGTTAGGCTGCATCTCTTTTCAGATATATTTGAGCTGTACTGTGCTTCCACTTCTGTTGCTTCACTGTTTCTATTAAAATCTGAGTACAGAACTGATGGGCTTGAAAGAGCAAGATTGGTGGCTTGGAACTGAGCATAGGCATGTAGAATTTGAGCCCTGGTCCTCTTATCTGCATTTTCAATATGCAGATGTCTCTGACTCCACTGTCAGCCATTCCCTTGACAAAGGCTTCATCTCTGCCCCTCTCTACTTCTTTTTTTTTTTTTTTTTTTTTTTTTTTTTTTTTTTTTATTATTTATTTTTTTGGGACATGACATCTGACTACGTTGCCATGGGCTTGATTTTAAAACTGTGATTTGAAAAAGGTTTTTTCCTCCCCCCCCCTCTTTTTTTTTTTTTTTTTTTTTTTTTTTTTTCAGTCTGATGTATTAATCATTATGGAGCCATTAAAGAAAGATCTCTGTCTATTACAACAGTACAGCACAGTGATATGAATGAAAGGCCGTTCTGTACTGTGCCTCTAGGGTACGTAGTGCACTTAGAAATCTGCGCATTAGGTGCCTCTTCTTTACGTATGTGTGTGAACTTGACAAGCATATGCAAAAACTTGCCACAAATGGTGGTTTTAGAGTAAAAAGCCTTGTCATAAAAGCTTGTGATTGCAGAGCCCTGACCGTCCGCAAAGAAGAGCATCCTCTGTTGCACACCTCCAACAGGTGACGTGAACGTTCAGTCCCAGGCCACGGATACAGCAGTGGGACTTAGTCCCAACACTTCTCCTGTCTTACTGAAGTAGCACGTGCAAAATTTGCACCCCCTGGAAGGACAGAAAGGATGGCCAGATGAGGTCATCTTACAATCTTTATCTTAAAACTGTGAGCTTTACCTATTTAGTTCAATAATAAACATCCTAACTCATGTTTGGATACGGCGCACAGCTAGCTCCTGGTAGGAGAGCCCTGAGGTTGGAAGGATGTGTTATTTCCCTTTGAGTTCTCCTCAGTGGTTTCTGAGACTTTTTGTTCAAAAGGTGCCTTACTCTTAATTTGAGCTAGTTTGGTCTCAACTTACAGGCTGGCTGTTTGCTTGTGTGCGTTTCCCCCTCTTATTTAAGTGCCCTGACTACCAGGTATGTCTTGGATAGCAGCTACTTTCTTAGGTCTCTGTGGGTACTTGGACACTGTGATCAGATCATTGCCAAGACAGCCGTGTTGGTTAACAAATTAACTCTTTGCTAAGCATCTCTTTCAGTTCCTGAATGGCTTCCCAGATTTCTTCCTCCCTTCCCTCTTTACCATAGGTGGCTGGCTGTTGTTTTTTTTTTTAAAGCAAGGACATTCAGCACTGTATGCAGCACTGTTATTTCTGCATTGTTTTGTAAAATCACCACAATCGTGAAATACGTAGGGGGGTAACCTGGCCCATAACTATTTCCTAATAGTGAATGTATTAGCATTAGTCTTGTTGTGACATTGGAAATTCAGGTAATGTTGCTTGCTTGGTAATTCAGGTCCCCTTTATTCAGTGCCATCGTGGTTTCCTATTCTGTAGATGCAACATGGGTTCCTTCTGCTAGATCACAATTCTGCACCTAAAAAAGCTTTAAAACATTGCTCCAGCAACTTGATTTGCTAAGATGCAAATGTTCAGGGATGGGGACTGTGCCCTGAAAATCACAGATCGCCCTTGTATTTGCCAGTTTTGGCTTGATTTGCCTCATTTCAACTTATGTCTCATCATTTTGTGCTATAGATGAATTTAAGTACTCTTAATGTGACAAATGTCCCGTTTTTATATAAAGGGAGAAAACGTTCAGTACTGCTTACACGTATACGAATGAACTCGGTGCAGAGGAGAATCACGTCCCCTTTGGCACATTGGGGAAAGATCAAATTTGTGTTTAAACCCATGTAGGATCTGCACTAACCTGACAGCAAGCATTGCAAATCGAAGCGCCCTCGTATCTGGCATATTGTACTGAAAGCAGTCTAATCTACTTATGCAAGTTCCCTGCCAGTGTGCTAGGATTAAATCCGAGTTATTGTGGTACAGAAAACATTGGTTTAATTGCTGTTCCAGTACAGTTTGGCTTTTCCTGAAACATGTCAATTAAAACCTTAAACACTTCTTTATCGGTCACCTCATTTACAATGATTGGAAGGTATAAAGCATCGTGCAAACATTACAGTTAAGATATTGAAGTCTCTAAACCTGGTTAGCACTAGACTTTTTTTAAATTCGTGTAAAATATAGCTGTGTTTTAGGAGCTTGCCAATATGGGTATGCTTCCCAGAATTGCTACTAAGGATCAAGTATTCATGCAGATGCTTTTGGTCTTGAGCAGTGTTGTTGGGTTTTCCCTTTTGGTACAGCAGGTAAATGCAGCAGCTACAGGGAACCCTTTTGTAATTTGAAGTAAGAAAATGCACACGAAATGTCAGTTGAGAAACTTGGGAGACTATGACCTCTCTCAACAAGCGCTGTAGTTCGTTGTGTTACTGAAGAATCATAGAATAGTTTAGGTTGGAAGGGACCTTTTAATTTCATCTAGTCCAACCCTCCTGCACTGAGCAGGGACATCTTCCAACTAGATCGGGTTGCTCAGAGCCCTGTTCAATCTGACCTTGAATGTTTCTAGGGACAGGGCATCTACCACCTCTCTGGGCAACCTGTCCCAGTGTTTCACCACCCCCATCATAAAAAATTTCTTCCTTATATCTAGTCTGAATCTACCCTTTTAGTT